ATAGCTCTAAGTTGAAACTGTTTGAATTTTGGACACGTCTTATGCTCTGTTTCCATACCACAAGGCTTCATTGTTAAGATATGTTGAACCTCAGTTTTAACATAAGATATACCTTGGACTAGAGATTTGATTTATATTTCTCATTTGACTAGCTGGATTCTCTGCTTTCTTCCAAATTTCTTTTCAAATTTGCTTTCTACTTCAAGAAGACAGTGGGAATTAAAAACAGAATTATGTACTAAATTTTCTATTGTGATGTGGTATTGAAATTCAGCAGTGAGATTATGCTATGAGAGAATTTGGGACTAGGGAGTAACCTTGCTTTCATTTGAAAAACCTGCCATCACCTTTAAGAGAGTCAAGACTTACTTCTAGAATCAGTCAATATTTTGGATTGGAAGGGATCTTTAAAGGTCACCTAGTCAAATACCCCTGCAATGAGCAGGGACATCTTCAACTAGATCAGGTTGCTTAGAATGCCATCCAGCCTGACCTTGAATGTTTCTAGGGATGGGGCATCTGCCACCTCTCTGGGCAACCTGTGCTGGTATTTCAGCAGCCTCATTGTAAATAAAGTCTTCCTCATATCTAGTCTAAATGTACCCCCACTTAGTTTGAAATCATTCCCCATTGTTCTTCACAACACTAAAAGGATTGTTCCCATCTTGCTTATAGGCCCCTTTAAGTACTGGAAGACTTCACTAAGTTCGCTCTGGAGCCTCTCTTCTCCAGACTGAACAAATCCGACTCTCTTGGCCTTTCTGCATGGGAGAGATGCTCTATCCCTCTGATCATTTTTGTGGCCCTCCTCTGGACTTGCTCCAACAGAGCCATATCTTTCCTGTTCTGAGGGTTCCAGAACTGGATGCAGTACTCCAGGTGGAGTCTCACCAGAGCAGAGTTAAGTAGAACCTAGACAGTGTGGTAGTGTGCTCTGTAGATTTTCTTGAAGGGGTGCGCAGTCTTCCAAAAGATAACATTACAATGTCTCTGTGCCTCCCAACTGAGAGAAGATGGGTTTGGGAAGGAAGAAGAATTGAGGATTTTATTAGTTTTGATCTTTCTCTGTCCTTATTTGAATCTTGAAGCCTAACTTCACTATAAATTTCCAGTTCTGTCTGACATTTCAGGAAGTTCTGTCTGGAACCCTGAAAGCCAGCACCAGCGGTCTGAGTTTTATGTGACTGCTTAATGTAGGGTGATCATAGCACTGAGCGTGAGGGCAATGATACAATTCTGCATCAGGAGAAAGAGTCGGGGGAAGAATATTTGCTGTTTATCAATGTGCTGTCTGCTACTCTTATGTTTCTTATTTAAAGCAGCTAGCACTGCTGGCTTGTCTTTTAACTTAATATGTTGGACAGGCACAGTGACTTATTGGATAATGAACAAAAACACCTGTAACTTTATGTGAATCACTTTGCTAATAGCCTCATTTTGGAGATAGAATTTGCCATCGGTTTAGATCTGAATTTGAACCCCATGTAGCATCTTTTGGTTGCTCTCCACTTCTTTTAACTTAGGATAATTTCAGATTAGTTAGCACATTTCTAAATGGGATTAAGCAGGTCTAGATTTCATGCTTCAGGAAGGTGGAAAAACATGGTGTTACTGCTGCCTAATTTATATTTTCCTCATTACTACAGAACTCACATTAGCAGAAGCTAACTGAAATTATATATATTGCTTTGAAACTTTGAAGTCAAATCAACAGTGAAAATTACTTCCATTTGAATACGCATTTGAAAAAGACTGAAAGGATGATAAGTACTTTCAGAGATATTATAGGATATATATTGCTTTTAAGATGTTGAAGTATTGTGTAGGATCTTCTTGAAATTGCAGTGTCGTGCAAGAGGTGTATATGTGAGAAAACAATTCTAGGTCAATGGGCACCCTTAAAAATAAGACCTATAAAGTAGTCAGAAAACATGATCTAGAGTGATTTGAGGATGTTGGGAAGCATTAAAAAGAATCTAATCCTCATAGTGCCTGCAGTTTCTTAAATGTTTGTTATTAGCCAGGTCTCCTTTATGTCGTCTTTCCTCCTTACTTTTAAATTTTAAGAGATAAATTCATATGAACTTTTCCTTTAGTTGTCTCTTAAAAATTGATACAAGTTTGGAAACTGGATATACCTAGATAGGGTTCTTGATTCTTGTTTTCTTATATGGATTTGAATCTTTCATGTGCTCGAGAACCAAAGAAATTTAAAAAAAAAAGACCCTCACGACTTAGGGGACTATATATTTTCATTACCAGTTTCAACAGCACACAGTTTTAGATATTTTTAGTATAATTTTTAAAAGAGAATAAAGAAAGTGAGGCACAGAGGGACTAATGTTATGAGTTGTGATTAAACTTAAGAAAGCAAAAAAATCCAAACTTAAAGCACACAATTTGTTCTGTCACTGTCCTTAACTGACCACGTTGATCTTATCAGATGGAGTTTTCACTCACTCTGTATTTCTTTTCTTTTGCATATTTCAATCCAGCTTCTCATGTCACTGTAACATAGGGATTTTTTTTTTTTTTGTGGTTTAATTGTATGAAAAAATTTGGTGCTGTATTCTTGGAGCTGTACAGATGGTTCCATGCCAAACATATTTGTTTACCGTGGTAATGTCTGAGTTGTAGTATGCCAGCTAATAAAGGGATTATTTAAGGAACAAGGTGAATGACTAAAACAGATGTGCCAGTTGGGTGAACCATTAAAAGAATCTTACTTCTCAGCTTTATGTAAAGGTTATTTTTAATGCATTTCTGAGAAATCAAGAGTGGTTGCAAGGATGTTTTTGAGGCAGCTGAAAGCCACTTGTCTGTTTGCTTGGCGGTCTTTTCCTGTGGGTTTAAAGCACATTAGTCTTTCATCTATCTTATTGAAGAATTTGCAAAGACAGCAGGTAGAAGTCCTGAGTTTCATCTTCTCATAAAGTATAACAATCTCATAATGCAATTTGTCCTGTTTATAAATGGTATGATTTTGTCTTTTAGTTGTGGGGAAACCTGCTTTAATATTTTTGTAATGTAAAAGTAAATAGCTGTAATGCAATACATATATGTATCTTTGTTCCATGGAAATCTTGGGTCAGTCTGCTGTAACAATACTAAAACCTTTCACATCTTTTCTCGAAAAAGTATTAGGTACTCTGACTTTACCAGAAAATTAAGCCCTTTGGCTGCTAAGCATTTAACCAGGATTAATGTACAAGTGTTTTAGAGGGAACCATGAATCAAATGCTGTTTGCCCAGGCATTTAGTCTGCTGTACATCACATTGACCAAGTGACTTCCAGAAACTCGAGTGATTCAGTTCTTGATAGGTTTGACTGAAATGTCTCCTTATAGAAATTGACTTTTGTGAATTAGAGATTTGTAATCTTGTTTCTTAGATGTTGAAAAACTCATTTGACAAGAATCCTGGAGACAAGATTCCAAAGAGAAGACTAAAAAAAAAGGCAAAAACATTTGAATAATATTTTTTAAACTTAGCCTTAGCTTGCTGGGTGTACAAAATATTTTCACTGAATTTCCTTGAATTTAGGTGCTTAAGTATATGATTTGTTTTGAATTAAGCAAATGAGGGGTTACTTAAGGCGCACACTGTACTAAACTTGACCACATCTTGTATGCCATTTTGAATAACAGTACATTTCAGGTACTTAGTCCTGAAGCTCTGCTCAGAAAGATGAAATTGTAGTGTGTCTGTTTGTTGCCTCTTTCAATATGTTTGTCTTACCAACTTTAAAGTCATGGACATTTTTTTTCATGTTCATTGCAACAGGCAGAAGAAAATTTATGTTCTCTCATGTTTTACTTTTAAGACTGAATAATGAAATATCTTGGACTCTCGTCTTCATGGCGGTACTGCTTTAGAAATAGCTGGTTACTATGTGAAGCCTCTCTGGTATTAATAAAGGCAGAATTTGTTCCTTCATTAAGAATAATTGAAATAATGCCATTCTCTTTCTAGGTTAGTTGTGTTTTGGTTTAATGCTAGTACTGAAAAACATCCACGGAGAACACTGAAGTGAACTTTAGCATTTTCAGTGTGTTCCCATCCAGACATTTATCAAAGGCTGTCTATTTGTGGATGACAATTGTAATCTGATCTAAGCTTAAATAAAATGAAGAATTTGCCCCCTGATTAAGCATAGCAAATAAGGATTCCAAGTGGCTTTGTTTGAGGTGAAGGATCGATCTCCTAGCAGTATGTTTTGCAATATATTGTAGAGCCATTGCAAGGCAATTAGATCACCTTCCTTGGGATTTCAGGGCTCTATTAATAATTTTTATTTAAAACCAGAAAAGGCTGCTTTGTATTGTAGGTTTCTTGCTTATCTGAGGTTTGGGCAGCATGTTGAAGCACTGAAAAACACTAGTCTGACAACACAGTATTACAGTGTGGAATATTATGTCTCTTGTTTGTGGTTGTGTACCAGTCCAGTGAACACATGACATTTCTTTCAGTAATTTTTATAAGCTACCTGCCCCATTAAAATGAGGATGGCTGTATTTATTTAACAAAAAGTAAAATTGGCAGAATACCTAGAGGTTCATAGTACCTGTCTCCTGTCAATTTTGTTAAGAGTTAGACAGTTCAATTCCATATAGTTAGTTCCTTCAAAGCTGTCTTTTTTTAGCTGTTACTTCAGTTTGTTGTATTCCAGTGTGGATTTCAACCCTAGCTTTGTTTAGGATTAAGAAGCTCTCGGCAGGCCTAAGATTTAAAATTTTTGGCTGACCTGACCAACCTTAACATTGAACTGACTGAAAATTGCTTTTTACATAGCTTCCAAATGTTGACTTCATTCTTGAAGGACCACGATTTGAATGCAGTGAAAGGCAATGTGACTGGTTGTAAATTGCATTAGCCCTAAGAGAAGTTTATTGTCTTCTTTGCTGGAAAGATACTGAATTGTTTTTATTTATCATGTGTGCTGAAGGCTTTTGATCTTATGCTGGGTTAATAATTTGTTTTCTTCCCTTCCACCACTCCAGGCCATACACACCTATGAAGGGAGCCTTTTCCAATGTGTGGTTTGACAGGTATAAGATTTCTAATGACTGTCCTGAACACATTGAAAGTGTTGATTCCATGTGCCAGCAGCTTACAGACTTGATCAATGATGAGATTAAGAATGGCATTGCAAAGAATAGGATACTAATAGGTAAGAGAGATTTATTTATAATGTGTTACTTTAATGTTTTTTTTTCATTGTTAAGATATCATCTACTTTGATTCACTTTAAAAAGTACATATTTTTACTATTTTCTTTTAGCCCTTTTCAAAGATGGAAAAGTGTACTTTCCCAAAATGAATTGTATTTTGGCGAGTGGAGATGTAGCATGTAATAATCATGAACTTTTCCTTAATGCTCTAATAATTTTGTGTTTAATTAATGGAGAAAGAATGTGCATGCTATATATCACTAAAGGTTAACACTTGATAACAAGTATTAGCTGTCATAGTTCATATGTGTCCATCTTTGTTTGTCATAATTTCCACAATTTTCCAGTAACTTTCACAGTACTGAGAAACAGATAGTGGGATATTGAGTCATAGGAGCTGAGGGTGATGAAGTAGCCTATGTCAGAGGGGGAATGAGAATTCACAAGTCCTTGGCTCCTTGTCCCATCTCTAGACCACAAACTATTTCAGGTTGGGGAAAAACTCTTAATGTGGGAACTTAAAAATTTATGGGCAGCTGAGTCATGCCATCAAAATCATGTGTGGTGGAACCACTACCATTCAGCCTACATGTTTTCTTGGTGCAGCCCCATGTTGCTCTTTGAAGGCCTGTGCTTACTTTCCCTTTCTGGCTCATTGCCCTGGCTGCAGAATGCATTGTTTTGGATGGCTGTCAGCACAGCCTCTTTGATCTGTCTTTCCCATGTTATACCTGATAACTTGGAAGCAGTGGAAGAAGTGCAGGTGCATTGCTGTACAGTGAGCTGGCAGATTTTCTGTGTACAGATCCAGTGTGCTACTGGGCTTTTCTCTTTTCTCTGTAGCCTTCAAAATTAGAAATAGGGAGACTGTATGAAAGTTGTTTTCCAAATCATAAGCAGAGTAAGGAAGTTGGTATGCACTGATTGTTTCAGTCCATAGATTCCTTGGAAGTCCCCGTCTCTGTGTGTTTGTATTCCTCATATATAAATCAGAAATAATTATAGTTGTTTTGTCAAACACTTGGGAGCTTTGTTTCCTCACCTCACAGAGACTACATGCAAACATCCTCACAGTTGAGTCCAGTATTTCTGCAAGAAGCAAAATAAGACAGTCCTGAATTAGCTTTGTCCAAAGTACAGAAGAGGACCCATGTGGTTGCGTAAGAGACTTGCTAGAGGAAAATTAATTCTGTCACTTATGGCTGTACAAGATTAAGTGTTCTTCCACAAGAACTTTGTGCCTTTTCTGCACTGGTATTGATAATTAACCAGTGTGTGATGCAATGGACAGTAAAGCTTAGAAGTCCTGTAAGGTCTCTATGCATAAAGGTGACATTAATCATCTAAATTTGTGTAAATAATTGTCCATCTTCTGGCATTGTTTCTTAAAGGAAATTAGGAGTTATGTAAGGGCACTGCGCAGCTTTATAATATTCAGCCTGGAGAAGAGAAGGCTCCAGAGAGACCTTATAGCACCTTCCAGTACCTAAAGGGGCCTAAAAGAAAGCTGGGGAGGGACTTTTTACCAGGACATGTAATGATAGGACAAGGGGGAATAGCTTTAAACTATAGGGTAGGTTTAGATTAGAAATTAGAAAGAAGTTCTTACTGTGGGGGGAGGTGAGATACTGGAACAGGCTGACAGAAAAGTTGTAGATGCTCCATCCCTGGAAGTGTTAAAGACCAGGTTGGATGGGGCCCTGAGCAACCTGCTCTAGTGGAAGGGGACCCTGCCTATGGCAGGGGGTTTGGAAACAGATGATCTTTAAGGTCCCTTCCCAAGCCATTCTGTGATTCTGTATTCTTTTGATCAAAAGAGAATATGAGGCCAAGTCAGTATGTGTGCACCAAACTGTAATGTACACTGAAAAAACAGAAACGGGGGGCCTGAAATTTTTCTGAGTTTGGGAGATTGGTCTACAGGAGATAATAGAAGATATGGTCACTTGCTTAGAATGTCAGATAACTAAGTCCTGTCAGATCTTTTTAGATTTCTCTTAAAAAAAGTCAGGAATATCCATCTGGTGCAAGAAGATGAGGCTTAAGGAAAGAGGTGAGGAGCAGACAGTGGATTTGTGACTGCTGGTACCATGGAGTTGGAGGAGGCAGAATTGTGAGGTGAAGGGAAAATAAGATGTTTATAGCAGAGAAAACCATGATGAAATTTTGGTATGAATTCACAGTGCATTCAGTGCTGTTCAGTCATGTTGGAGATATGGAAAATAGAGACAAATTAGTTGAGAGAAGAGACTGAAGAACTTCGGAGTCTGTGAAGAGCAGCGGAGGCCTTTTCTGGTAGGTCACAGAAACCAAAGAGCAGAGCAGTTGTATGAAGGTAGTTACAGGGAATGAAATGTTTGTTAAAGGGTTAAGGAGAGCTGGGTTGGGTGAGCTGTTTTGTAATAAGTGGGAGTTTTAATGAGTGGAAAGAAAACAAAATGAGTATGAGGAGGGTAACAAGATTGAAGGTTATGGTTTTATATGGAATAGCAGACTAGAAATTACAGGCTGAGGATGAGTGTCAGATATTGTTAGATGAGGGTGAGTGAGGTGTTAGGCAAGCAGGAAGGTGGGTAGCTGCTGACAGCTCAGAGGTGTGGGATAAGAAGGCAAGATCTGAGGGAGCACTGTGCAAAGGTGAGCGAGTGGGAAGAGAGGGGAAGCAGGAGTGGGCTCTCAAACAGTGGAAAATGAGAAGCCCAGCACCTGGTGTTCTGGAGGATGATTCTCCTTCTTGAGCCATTCAGACTTTCCACAAGGCTCAAGATTGTGGGACAGTAAGATCATTTGCTCTGAAAGAAATTATAGCCTGTGTTGTTTGTTTTGATAGCACAGTTAGCTCTGTAATCCACATGTGGCTGCTTGTAGGACAGAATTCTAAAGCTGAGGATGGAGTCCAGGTTGTGCAGTGCCACTTCTCTCTTTCTTTATCAAGAAAAATGTTGGTGCAGCCTTGTTTTTAACAGCTGCTGGATGAATCTACTTCTAAAGAATTAAATTACTTAATTTACTGGATGTAAATGAAGTCTTACTATTAAAACATCCATATCAATTTTCTGTAACAACCAGCACACAGTAGTACAAGGCTCATATACCCATTCCTATTTCGTGACTATTTCATGAGTTGCTTTCCTATTAATACAAGTCTTTTAAAGGAAGCAGACTTCTGATTAAGGTTTGTTTCCCCTGACCTTGGAGGAGGAAGGAAGGGAGACTAACAGCAATATGTAATTATTCAAAAAATAATTATATCATCCCCAGAATTTGATAATGGTAGTCACCTTTTAGCCAAACATTCTTGTTGAGTTACTCTTACTGGTCTTCCTGGCTAAAGCACTTCTTGCAAATAATCCTGTAAGTAGGCTTATATTGACTTTGGAGATAAAAGCATTATAAATTTAGTCAAATTCTGACAGTTGGAGCTTTGATAGTATCCCTTCTTAAAAACTGGATGTATTTCTTTTTTATAAATGCCTGAATTCATTGCTAAATTAGCCAAACAAGCAAATAATCACAGTTTGAAATGTGAAACAATAATTCCTTTTTCTATTTAAAACTGAGTTGGTTTTTCAGGTGGTGGTGGTGGTGGTTTTGCTTTGTTTTGTTTTCTTGTGTTTGGTTGTTTTGTTGTTGGGTTTTTTTAACTGCTTCCATGGTGATAGTGCACTGTAAAATAACTCCACGTAGGTGGAAAATGTCAAAGATTTCAACAATCTTATTCAAGAATATGTTAGAAGCTCTTGAAAGAAATGGCCACCTCATTTTTGGAGCATTTAGATAGGGCTCACTTTAGTCAACTACTCTTCAGTGAAAAGCAGTCTTTTTGTTCCTTTCTTCTTCCTAATTTAGCACTACTTTCCTACTTTTACAGGTCACTTCTTTTGTAGCTCAGAAGTGCTGATCCAAGCGTGTTGGTCTCTGCCACCTGTAGTCATTTGTGTAAGCAGCCAGTGCAAATAAACTCTCCATAACAGTCCTGTAGGTTTGACTGTATGCCAAAATACACATGCATGATTCCTGACCCCTTGTACTGTAACAATAACACAAGACACACAACCGCTTTTTGTTTATTGCTAGACTTCTTACATAGCTACTGAACCATGGTGGAAGTAACATGAAAGCTCTGTGCTTCTTGTAAATATTAGCATTTCCATCTCTCTCAGTGTGTGTGAGAATGGGATAGGGAAGAAATATCTTTGCTTTGACATCGCAGAGAAAGAGGATTCTGTAAATATGTTAGGATAAAAAGTCAAGAATAAATTGTTAAAGTGTTGAGCAAACTACTTCACAATCTTGACATTTTAATGTCTTTGGCTTCTAAGCCTTTTGCTGTCACTCACCCTACCTTCTATCTTCTGTCTTCATTAGGAAAACATTGTCTTTCATTTAGAGGTACTTACTGCTTTATTCTCACCGAGTAAATTCACAGGTTTATATTGCCTTTGTCACTGCAATTCAAATGAGATTTCTCTTTCCGTACCTCCCCTTGCCTGGCTTTGTGATTTATCTAAATTATGCCTGAGATGCTGGACTCAAAGCAGTACTATTAGTCCATCTGCCCTATATTGCCTGCAACATTTCATTAATTTTCAGTGAAATAGTGTAAATTTGCATTGCATTTATACTTCAGGTAAAATGTTTGCTTCTCTTGTGTTTTTTTGTACCTCAGCTGGCCATTTATTTTTCTTTTGGAGCTCTGCTACTCTAGCTTGTGTATCAGGAAGTAAAAAGAGACATTAACAAATGGATGTTTCTGTTTCCTTCATAAGTCGTTCAGTAGGAGGTACAAATGCTAATTTTATCCAGAGAGTAGGATCCACCACTGGTCACTTTGTTTCCCAGCATTTGGTGGTGTCCATATTAATATATCTGAAAACGAGGGACTCTAAAAGGTGGCATATACTCAATTTTGTTCTGTATTGTGAATGACAGGCTTAGCAAATGTTAGTGAAGATTAGGAGTAAACCTAACAACAATAAACCCAAAAATAATTCAATCA